CAAAATCAATTTCCACGACTTTAAATCACAAAATAAGCACCAAACAACAACATTTTTGTGGAAATGAAAATAAATTTTCAACTTTTTTCGTTGTCTGCTTGATGGCACAAAAAAAGTTTCGTACTTTTTTTTTCGTTCTAAATAAAGAAGAAAAAAAAAGAAACAACGTTCACATTTATTTTTATAAGTTTGTAAACTAATTAGAAAACTTTACACCTGAACACCTTTTTTGGAAAACCTTAAGAGCAAAAAAAAAACTGCTGTAAAACGACTCAGTCTTAAGCCTTGTCGGCAAACAAAGTCAAACACCTTTCAAATAAAATACAAACAAGAGGATTTATTATCAATATATGAGTAAGGACTGAGATGAGATAATCTAGTTTATAAAATTTCAATTATAGATCCCTTTAGTTTGTTCCGGATCGAGTACTTTGCAATTGACATTGCAATATATTACCATTAGTGTTAAAAAATGGGTCAAATTGAAACTTTTCTAGATTATATGAGAAGACTATAGGCTTACTTTCTTCATTACTTGGAAACAATAAAGTAATGATTAGCTTCCTATTACAAATAATAAATATGGATCATATAATTATATTTAATCAAATGATTAGAGAAAATTGATACTCAAGAACCTTTTCATAGACTATAGACTTAGTAGAGAATCCCAGGAATATATACAAAGTATGACTCTCTATTTGACCCGATTACAGTCCTTTTAAAGATGTAGGGGTTGATGAGAATTTTAAAATACACAAACATCTTTAAATACCAACACACACATATAAATCTTCCTAGATATCTGTGTGTAGTGTGTTTTAGACAAAAGTTCAATAACGTTATTTTAGAGCCAGTAAAGATGGTGGTGGTTGGCGGTGACGTTGGTTTGGTGTTGACGGCGTTAATGCATTAAAAATGCGTGCACAACACCAAAGACGTGACATGTTTTTGTTTAAAACAAATCAACAACAACTAAGAAAAGACGCTTGTAAAATACACATTGCCAAAAAATACATACACATACCCACACGCATATACCCATTAAATTTGCAGAGAAACTCCAAAATATTGCTGACTTAAGGTAAAGCAGCAACACAGACTTGATGACTAACTGCGTGACTATGGAGGTTTTCTAAGAGCACTAACTCATAGACAACAGTTTGCAGATGGAATTTGACTCGATACACATAAAAAGCTACCTTATGCCCAATGACAGATTCCCCAGGAATAAAAAACAAGTTATGTTAAGAGAAAAGAAGGTGCAAAAATGAGGGTTATAGGGAGATAGTGAAAATAGGCGCTGCGAATTATGGCCCCAGGTAAAATGGCCCCAAAACGTAAAACGAAATATGGCCCCAACAAAGATACAGGAAACAAAAACACGAAACTTTTGTTTTTTTTTCATATATTTTTTGGGGTATTTCAACATTTTTACATTTGGGGTAATACTGCATTTTGCAAAAAAAATAAAAATGACCCCAATGTTGTGAAATGAAGAAATACCCCAAAACAAAACTTTTTTCCTTTGGGGCTAATTTTCATTCTTAAATTTTGTAAAATACGTGAATATTAAAATATTAAAAAGGGACCTAAAAAACCATATAATAATTAGGGGTGATCTTTCATTATTACTATTTATTAATATTTTATAAAAAATCAGAACATTATCGCGCGATATTTTTTATTAAAAAATATTTTATGTAATAATATTTGTTGTATTTTCATAAAATGTTTGTTAATTTTGAACATATTTTTACAAAAAATATTTCAAGAATGTTCAAAATTAACAAACATTTAATAAAAATACAACAAAAATTATTAAATATGAAATTTTATAAATATGTTAGCTTATATTTGAGGTGGGATGTCATAATGTCCATTGACGTTATGACACACCAAAAAGTTTCATAGTGTCCATGGACGTTATGACAATTTTTAAAAGTGTTATAATGTCCATTGACATTGTATCACTTTTAAAACAGAACTGTATTTGAAAATTTGTAAAGAATTTATGAAAGGGACATTCTTACCCCCAAAGGAATTTATCCTAAATTTGGTGTATGTTGCATTTTGGTTTCCATTTAAAAAGTTTTCTGTATAGCCGGCCTTCGGCCGGGCGCAGGGGTTTTAAACTCTGGGGTATTTCGAATACCGGCTTCGCTAAATTAAGCCTTCTTTTGATAAATGGACTCTTTGAAATCCATAGACTTTATGCATTGTGACACTTTTGAAATTGTTATAACGTCCATGGACACTAGACTCAATTTAGTGAGTCATAACGCCCATGGAAAATATGACACTGGACTTTATGACACGTCACCTATATTTGAATTAAAATTAAATGGGGTGAAATTTCATTTACGTTTTTGGGGTAATTGTTCATTACGAAAAATTAACCCAATATTTGGGGCCACTTTTCATTTCAACCTTGGGGAGATTTTTCATTAATTTTGGGGTGATTTTTCTTAAAAAATGTTAGGGTTATACTTCATAATGAATTTTGACCCCAACATTGGGGCAATTTTTCGTTTTATATTTTGGGGCCATTTTACCTAGGGCCATAATTCGCAGCGCCGTGAAAATAGTAATAAAAAAAATTTTACAGCACGCGACCCTTAAAATAACACTTAAAGTGTTTGAATGTGATTTAAACTAGAATATTTTACTGTTCTTTTCAGGATTTTGTGGGGGTGAATGCCAAAGGGTTGCCATAATATTCTTACATCATATTCTGATGCGTTTTTCAACGTAGCCTGATCGATCCTATCAATTTGACATTAATCGAAAATTTTCTAAAACGATCAATAATAACCAATTAACTAAAAAGTCAGAATCCTCACTAATAGAACTTATAACTTCGAAAGTCTTTAAAGAATTCATTCTACCTTAGAAACAGTTCGAATTAGTTCTGGATGACCTACTGTGAGCTTCCGAGACACCGATGTTCCAAAATTTGTTATTTCAATCCTTTGGGAAAAAGAGGTGCTACCAATACTGGTGATGATTAAATATATCATCAGTCTTTCCTTGGAATGATTAAACATGGGGTTAAACCAGAGAACTACATAATCTAGTACCACGGGAACCGGTGACCCATAGGACATAGTTTCGAACTTTGTCTTGTCCCGGTTATTGAAGGGATCCCTTTAGGGTACACGTGGTGGCTGTGGATGAAATCCAAATTCGCGGGAAGAGAATGTTGTTTAAAAGACTGATACACACACAGTAAAGTTTATAATTCGGGATGAGTTCGGTGCTGTTGCAGAGATAACAGATACCCCCCAGAAGAGTGACTGAGGGGTATCTGAGGTTTTCTTAATGAGTGAGTCGGATGACTGTGTTGGGTTAAATGGTGGTGGATGTAAGGTTTCCTTTACAAATGATACCATTGAATTTTTCTTTCATGTCCGGTTATGTTAAGGGTTTACGATGCCCATACCAGATTTACCACAGTGTGTTCTATGTGAGTAAGAACAAGTTCTCGGCTTATTTGATGGATTCGTGTTTCGGTCTACCGATTACTTCACTAGGTGCAATAGCCGACTCAACAAAGGCTCTTTTGCATCTCGGAAGCTAAGCAACGGGTTAGCAATGATCACAGATATTTGTACATAAACCGGCAGAACCATGCACAAATTTGAAACACCGGCGTGTAAGAAACACAAAGAGGAGGTGGTAAGTTTAATTAGCTCAGTCTGTAGTTGCAAAAGTACCACCATGAAATAACGCCAACACGTCAGGTGTTCAGGTAGGGCACTTCGACTTCTTGTCTGATCAATAGTTAAGTGATAGTGTAAGAGTTTAATTTATGTAGAGCCCACTAGTTGTCGACAAAAGTTCCTATATTTCCACGAATATTGCGGTTATATAGTGTTCTATAGGGTATAATCATTGGAAATATTTCAGCTTTAAAGACTAAGGTATTAGGCTTAATGCCTTCTTGATCTCCAACATTAGGCCTCCCTATACTGAAGGTAGAGATGGCTATTATACGAAGATCGATTGGTATAATGTGCAACATCTGATATTGCAATGCATGCTGATCTCTGATCTTGATATAGCTGGTTTAAATCTTGGACTTTGTAGTAGGTATTTACAATCATTCTTACTTAAATTTACATCTCTGTGATTGTCAGTGATCCAGTTATTGAGTATCTCCTGGGTATTAGACATGGTGTCCCTATCACTTCTGGAACACCTGCATCACAACATCGTCCTCTGATAGGACTTTCATACCAGAGGTCATGATTTCGATTTCCACCAGTGGTACTGGTACAAAATTTTATGCAACAAACATCTGCCTTTCGAAATAACTGACTAGCTGAACCAACGAACTTCCTTGAATTTGAATATAAAAATACTGACCTCAAAATGAAATTGCCTATGATGGCAACCCTCTCCTTGTTTCATCAGATAAAGTAAAATCGTTGCGATGTCTGTGAAGTACTCCTCTACCACTTCTTCAACTCCTTTGTAATTGTGCGTGTGGTTAGTTCATTTTTTTGCCGATTCATTTTTGCAAACATTTACTCGCACATTGTTTTACCTTTTCGAAATTGTATTTGGAAGTTTATGGTGCCTCTATTAAACTCACACATACAAAGATCGCATATATGCACATTTATGAACGTATGTACATGGATGAAATTATATGAGAAATTGTGTTCGTTTAAAGGTGAAGGATTTAACAGCATAAACATGTACATGGAGTGTGTGTAATTAAACACACGTCAGTGCGATTAAAAGGTATCTACATATGTATATTTGTGTGTGTGTGGGATATGTAACAGGGTTTGATGTGAATGGTAATGTATGCACGATTTTATGATTTGATCTTTAACAATTTTTTTAGCCAAAAACTCTTGCAAAAGTCAATATAATTTAAAACTTTTTTTTAATGTAAGGGATTTTTTCCGCTGATTTTGTTTGAGCGAACGTGAGACCTTGAAATTGTAATTGAAATGTAATATTTTTTTGTGTTTTCGTTTAAATTTCAGTTAAATTTATGTCAACATGTTGAAATCATACAAAATTTACACTTGCACTAATGGTGCCTTGGGTTTGCACTTGAGTCGGGCTCCTTGGGATCCATATCCCTGGGTGAGCAGCATACAAAAAGATTCAACTTCCTATCAGGCAGGGCTACGCATCGGAGACTGTTTGCTTGAATTAAATGGCCAAGATGTTTTGGGCATGAAAATCTCAGAGATTGCAGCTCTTTTAAAAAATCATTGGCTTAATGAGAGTAGCAATTATGTCACTGTTGTTATATGGCGTAATAAATGCAACAACAGCAATATTAACAGTGAAGATGCAACAACTGATGCCTGCAACAATAATGAGGATGATGATGACGAAGATGAGGAAAATAATGCAGTAAGTAGTTGTATATTTGTTAAAATTCATTTTATTTATTGTCTAGCTATCTGTCTGTCTGTCTGTCCGCCTGTCTTTTAAAAATTGCATGTCTTGCTGCTTATTAAGTTTGTAATGACTAATTATAAAAAAAATACATATAGTTTTTAATATTGTTGGTAACATGTAATCAATGTGATTTTTGTTGTTGTTGTTTTGTTTTGTCTTATACCGTATGTGCGGTATTGTTTATTTATTTTCTTGTTGTTGTAGTTTTTATAGTTTGTTTGTTTATATTTATTTTTTTATATATATATTTTTGTTTAAATTATTATTACGCTGCTAAATGTAGGTCATTGTAATGTAGTGTTGTGTCTTGTTTTTTAATCAACTAATTATTTTGCATGTAAATAAATAAATACTAAAATTATGTAGCGAATAATACTAACAAAAGTTGACACTATATTTTTGTTCGTATTCCAACTGAGTCAAGGTTTAAACAGGGTTTAATGAAACAGTTTAGCGAAAAAAAAGTATTTAAGGCAGTAAAAGAAATACTTATAATTATTTCCTAAATTGTATAATTTTCATGGTCAAACAAATTTGCATTAATGCAAAATTAAAGTTATTGTGATTGGAATTTTCGTAAAAGAAATTTGTTAACGGAATTTTAATTTCTTATTCATAAGTACCCAGCAGAAACTAGGTAATGACTTTCAACTGTAATTACTTACCTAACAACATACTTTTCAATGACTACTACATATAGTCTGCATTACATAGAAGTAATCTAATAATTAATTATTGAGATAATGAGTGAATTTTGAAAATAATTCTGTTTACGGAATTGGGTAATTAATTATTTCGTAGCTTTAGCTGTAACTTTGTAGAACGGATTTAAATTGAACAAGTACTAAGAGTGTTATGGACCGATAGTCATAAAAATTGGTAGAGATATTTTGTCTTGTAAGAAATTTATGTATGTCGAATTTCAAAAAAATTGGCATAGAGATTTTGTCTCGTAAGAAACTTATTTATGTCGAATTTTATCGCTATACTCGTATTTTTAAACCAGTAATGAGCGTTAAATTCAATTTCTGAAGGAAACCTTATATGGGTGCTAGGGTCAATTGTGAATCGATCCTTATAAAATTTGTTAGAGAGATTTTGGCTTGTATGAAACATATTTGCGTCATGTGGCATCGCTGTACTCATACTTTTATGGCAGTACTGAGAGTTAAAGTCATTATCTGAAGGGGAGCTTATGTGGGGGGTAGGGTCAATTATGTACCGATCCTTATAAAATTTGACAAAGATATTTAGGTTCCTATAAAATATTTCCACTTCGGATCTTACCTTTGTAGATGCTATTTTAGGCAGTTATGAGCGTTAAAGTCATTTTCTGAAGGGTGCCTTATATGGCGGTAGAGTCGGGCCGATCCTTACAAAATTTTACAAAGAGATTTAGGTTCCTATAAAACATGTTTATGCCTATTTTTACGGCTATAGATACTTCTTTTGCCCAGTTATGAGCGTTAAAGTCATTTTCTGAAGGGGACGCTATATGGGGGTAGGCTAAATCGTAGACCAATATATCCCATTTTCACACTTACATTAACTAAAAACTTCTGTGCAAAATTTCAGCTCTCTAACTATTCCCGTTTGGAGTCTATCGTGTTTTCAACAGACAGACGGGCGGACATGGCTAGATCGTGTTAGAATCTAATAGGGACCCAGACACGATCTAGCCATGTCCGCCCGTCTGTCTGTTGAAAACACGATAGAGTCCAAACGGGAATAGTTAGAGAGCTTTTATGGGACTTAGACGAATATTTCGATGTGTTACAAACGGAAAGACAAAAACAATATACCCCCATCTTTTTTTGATGGTGGGTATAAAAAAGCTTTATCTTGAGATCACCGTAATTATTGTTAGAAATCATTAAAAGACCTACCAATTTATAGCAAAATATATATTTAAAGACTTCAAACTTTAAACAAATTCTCTACTAAAGGTTTATGTTTATTTTTACCCTCAAAATAAAGCTTTTTAATATTTTTCTACTTTCGAATGTAAATTCCACTTAGCCTTCTATAAGTTTTATTTTGGCTTTAAATTTAGGTCAATTAAATTGTAATGATAATGTCACAGACTCATACATATACATACATACACAAGTATTTATACACGAAAGGTAGGTATTAAATACTTGTTTTAAAATAATTGCATCCTTCCAAACTCCCACATCACTTTTAAGGATAATTTAATATTAAAATATATACCTAGTTTTTTTTCATAAACAATATGCATACATACACACACATACAGACAATAACTAATAAGTATGAATGTTTAAATATAACCAGTAGTTCTTGAACTAGTTCTATGTCTGTCGTAATGAAGTGAAAGTACATGTGATATGGCATCCTTAGAATTATCATTTGCTATAGCTGAATTTAACTTTTAACTATATATTTATGTATGAATTCAACATAAATTTAATGTATGAAAGAAATGTACATATTTAAATTGAAAAATATATTACTCTAAAGGATACCAGTAGCTTCAAAGGTGACTAGTACAAAAGTTTCAAAACAGTTCTTTAATTGCAGCATTTACTACAGCTGGGGTATACAGATTATACTCAATCTTATTTATTTTGTTGCTGCAACTCATATTAGTGAGTAGTATGTTGCATAACAAAATTGATAGTTATTTTTTTTGTTGTTGTTATGATGCTGTACGAATACATATGTATAGTAAAACCACATCATGTGTAAAGTATTATGAATTTTACTACAAATATAAACATTTTAAATGTTTTGACATTTTGTCATATTTACATAGAGGCAGACAGACATACACAAATTTTTTTTCGGGGGGGAATAATTTCTGTTTTTACCAAACAAACATTGATGTGCTAGCACACACACATACACAAAACATAATATTACGTTCCTATATCTACAAGGATTTATAAATTACCTGTATGTAATATATTATTCTATAATATACACAGTTCATCATACATACATATGTACTTCCATGCATACATTCATAAATAAATATAAAATTTATGCATGTATTTATTTGATATTTTCAATATTTTTTGTTCATATTATATCATTCTGTTAAATAAAGTACGATTATTTTTTGTCTTTGGGGTTTATCATCATAATATTAATGACACACATTTCACAATTTAGTGTCTCTGAGGGTATAAATGCATAAATATGACGTCATTTGTTTATGAATTAAAATTATAAAATCTGTACATAAAATCAAATGATTTTGAAATTTAGTTTTTGTGTTAAATACGAGTGATAATTAGTAGATATGAAATTATTAATTTCACTTTGAAATATGTATGTAGTTCTTTATATTTTAATAAGTTGGATTTTTTTCAGGGAATTTAGTTTTCTATAAATATCATGACAATAGGTCTTAAATGAGAAATTTAATAGACAATATTTTTTGATTTCAAATCGTTTTATAACACATATGGGCAATTACATATGGACGGACGTTAGGGTGTCCCGTGGATAACATTTTTGTAGGAATACCTCTCTAAATTACGAAATATTTGAGTCACATTTTGAAAAGATTGCAGATTTTTTTAACATATTATACTGAGATAATCGCTGGTAGGGAACTGAGGATCCATTCAAAATTTATTTTTATTTTTCTCGTCTTCAGTACATTAGTACGCATCGATTGATAGGGATTACAACATGGTTCTTTAAAACGCAGTTCCTCGGGACACTCTAATGTACATATGTATGTCTACATTGAACCATTAAAGAGCTAATCATATGATTAAATAAAATACTATATACATCTAAACTACAGGAAATAAATTGAAAATTCAACAACTTTTTTCCACTTAATTTTCTCTAAGGTTTTTCCTAAACTAACATAAGGTAAGCACTCTGGCTTACCTTACTGCTTCTATTGTAATTTCTAAAACAAAATTGTTGGCTGATTATAGTAAAGAGAATTTGAGTGTGTATATCCTAAACTAACCAAAGCTAATTAAAGTTGTTCTAAATTTGTTTTTGTTGTTTTCTATTTTATTTATTTTTTTCTTTCTCTTTTTTGAAAAACTTGCAGCACAACATTAATCAGCAATCGTTGCAAAAGTTTGCAACTTGCCTGCAACATATTGCCCAATTATTGGAATGTCCTGTTTGCTTAGAGGTAAGTTTTTGTTTTATTATTTTCCGAAAGGTTGTTGTTGTACTTACATACATATAAATATATTTAATAAAGTATAAAAGGTATAAAAAAGACAAAAAAGTTATAGAAATAGTAGACATTTTGTAGTTAAAAGAATACTTAAAGAACTTGTCAGGAATATCGATGAGCTTCTGAAGTAGCAATTCATGCAATAGATGAAAGAAAATCGGTATTAAGTTTTTGCTTATAAAAGGGTTAAATGTTAAAAAAATCTCAGAGTTTCCGTCCGACAAAAAAATTACATTTTTCTTCGACAAAATCAAATCTATTTTCTTAAAGTCTGGTTCGTTTTTATATAAAAAATATTTTAATTGGCAGATTATTTTTCGGTTAAACGATATCCGGAGTTTGATATAATAAGACTAAGCATAAAAAATATTTGTAATCGGTCTCTCTGAAACGGAATATATATGAATCGGAGAATTTACTTTTAACTTCTCCTAGATATTATATTCATTTTATGTATAGGGTCAACATAAGGAACGGTAAATTATCAAAGGTAAAATTGATTACAAATTTCAATGTACCACTGTTTTCCAATACATATATACATACTTGTATAATAGTCATAAAAAGTATTACAACCCTAAACATAACCCCCTCAAAAATATATGTATGTATTTATTCACCTTGATCAAATCATTCCTAATAACTGGTTGCCCCCCCCAAAAAAAAAAATAATAAACTGACTGTTCTACTTAAGTTTTCTTAAAACAAAAACTTGGTTAGTTAGTTAGAAAAAATAACAAACTTGGGAGAAAAATCATAGGAAAAACGTGTGTCAACATAAAACAGTCTACTAAAAACTATACAGTATTCAAAAATGAGTACCAAACCAAAATCTTAGAAAAAAAAAATAAGGAATAACTTAAAAATCTTTATGCGTACAATAGTGTACGGAACGCTAAGTCAGGCAAGCATGAAAAGTTCTTTTTTAAAGAATCAAAACAAAAAGAAATTTAAACAAGTAGGAAAGTCAGGCATACTCGATGGTTAGATACCCTATTTACAGCCTTGAGTGAGGGGTAATGAATACATTAAGTAATTCATAACATGGTCAATTACAATTACTTCCAATGTGTAATTGAGCAATAACCATTTAAAATTCCCTGTAATAGTAATTAATGTTTTGCCAATTACAATTATTTCAAATGTGTAATTGAGCAATAACGAAACACAATTCCTTGTAATTTCAGTTTTGCCAATTACAATTACTTGTAGTTGTAATTAAAGTTTACCAATTACAATTATTTGTGATTGTAATTGAAGTTTACCAATTACAATTACTTGTAAGGTACTGCATATTACTATTACCGCTTATAGGAAAAAATACGCAATTACAAGTAATTCTAATTTGATTTTAAAACACTTCAATTGCAGGTAATTGCTATTAGTAAATCTTCAATCGACATTACTTCAAATGTAATTTTAATTAAAAATTTAATCATTTAACTTTTCGTGTACCTTCCGGGCCTTGTACCTTTAATTATAATTGCTCAGTTATTGTATCATACTTTTTAAAATGTAATTAAATCGATTCTGGTACTTATTAATTCAAAGCATTACAATAACATTACATTTATAGTAATTATAATTGAAGTTTACCAATTACAATTACTTGTAAGGTACTGCATATTACTATTACCCCTTATAGGAAAAAATACGCAATTACAAGTAATTCAAATTTGAATTTAAAACAATCTCAATTAGTAAATCTTCAATTGACATTACTTCAAATGTAATTTTAATTAAAAATTTAATCATTTAACTTTTCGTGTACCGGACATGGAGAAAACTAATTAATTAATTGAAGTTTTTAATTATGATTGCACAGTTGTCGTATCATACTTTTTAAAATGTAATTAAATCGATTCTGGTACTTAGTAATTCAAAGCATTACAATAACATTACATTTGTAGTAATTGTAGTTGAAGTTTACTAGACTGTAATTGTAATTGATAAAAAAATTAGTTCAATTACATTTATAAATGTTCTAAAAATGTTTTCTGCTAAGTAATAGTAATCGCCAATTTCATTCATTTCAGTTCATTATTTGTTTGTACTTGAGTTTTTTATATTACATTACACGTAAATGTAATTACATTACAAGTAAATGTAATTACATTACTAGTATGTAATTGGAATTGAAAATAATCAAATAAAAATTACATGTAATTTATGTGTAATTGATTCTGTAAAGAATTAATTAATGTAATTATTTCAATTTAAATGCTATTCAGTGTTAATGCAAACGTTAAATTGGGTGTTGAAACAGTAAATTGCTCATGAGAAATTCTTCTCTGTAGTGGTGTAGAGTATAAAAAGAAACTGTTCAATCCCTGCCAGCAATTTTGTAGTCGACTACGAGAAAAATTCACTTCTAGTTTACTTTTACAGACTGACTATAAGCTAACTACAATGTAATGCAGAGCAGTCCTGAAATTTTGTATTTGGCAACGTAAAGAACCAACTTTTAAATACTAACTACAAGCTAACTATAATGTAATGCAGAAGTGCCTCAAAATTATCTGGAGAGAATTAATTGTATTTTAACATGTTTTCTCTTGTTTCTCTATTATTATGATTTTATTTGTTAACTTTAGTAGACTGACTATAAACGAACAACAATGTAATGCAGAAATGTTCCAAAATTTGGTATTTATTAACGTAAACTACCGACTTTTAAAGACTAGCTACAAGCTAACTGTCATATAATGCGGGAGTACCCCAAAATTATCTGGAGAGCATTTTGTTTCGACATGTTTTCTCTCTCATGTTTCTTTATTAATTGGAATTTTGTTTTACATTTTTGTCATTTTCTTGTATACGTTGTGAAATTAGAGTCAGTCAATTGGAAAAATTAATTATAAAAGGTTAAATATTTCAAAACTCGGTCCCTAAATTCTAAATTCTGCTGATTAATACTGTAAATATAATACATTAACAGTTACATTACACATAACATTTTAAAATTTATTTTAGATTTGGATCAATGGGAATCATGGAAGTAATGGACAAATCATTCATAATTTTATGGATACCGGTGTTATTATTAGTTCCCCTGCAGAAAACTGATGTCTATTAATTTTAACGAACTAATATCATAACTTGTATTAAAGCGAAATGTAATTTAGATAACTAGTAGTTAAATTTTAAATATATTTAATTAAAATGTAATTAATTAATACAGTAGGGAATACAAAAGAAAACTATTACTTGACTTTTCTGCAACTAACTTTTAGTTAGTTAATAAAGAGTTACCTTTAAGCTAATTTTTTAGTAACTAACTTTAAGCTAGTTGAAAAGTCATGCAGAGTCGGACAATTGACTACTGCGTAGGACATCGCTATGTTAAAATAGTCAGTTGGATCCATTAAAAATAATCCAAGAATCAACCATAACTAGTTGATGAAAAAGTCGGCTTTTAATGCATTTAAAGTTAGTTGAGATGCTGGCAGGGATAATACTAGCGACAACTAAACAACTAGATTGTTTTTCTATATATAAACTGGAAAAAAAAATTACCAAAAATATGTTGTTAAATGAAAATCCGAAACAGTTTTAGTGTGTCTATATTAACTAACTTTATGTTAGATACTTTAACCAATAGACAGGCGCTTTCACAACCATATAAACATACAGGTATATAATCATAACATGTTGTATTTAAGTGTATAGTGTCTATAATGGAAACGGAAACTTTTGCTAAATATGAGCTCTATGTAGTTGTTTAGAATTTTCACTTCTGTTTTTACCAACTATATACATACATACATACATATGTATGTATGTATGTATGTATATGTATGTCTGCAAAATACTGTTTATTAGTTTATTTTCATTAAATGTTTGTATGTATATAAAGCATATATTTTGGGGGTAAATATATTTTCATAAATTCGAGTTTTGTGAACTTGTGTGAAGTGTATATTCTAAGTGCACTTGCACGTTTTCCACGTTTATTGCATTCAGTTTGTATTTATTTGTAATGGGATATTTGCGATATTTCTTTTTTTAATTTTTATTATTTATCGCACACAAATAGTAGACAAACTTCAAAATAAATTTAAATAAAATAGAAATTTCTTTTTTTTTGGGAAAAATAATTGACAAACAAATTTAAATTTAAGTGAAATTAATGATTTAAATAAAACTTGACTTACCACAGAAGAGAGTATATCATCTGCAAATAAAATTTAAATAGAAATGTTGATTAGAAAATAATAAATTGTAGTAGAAAGCAAGTAAGATTGTATAGTTGGGCATGGCCGACCATATGATACTCTACACCAGTTATTATGTTAAAAATTTTGATTATTTTTTATACCCTACACCACAATAGTGGTGAGGGTATTATTTAATAATAAGGTATTTAATCTCAATTTTACCTTAATTCAGAAATATTTTAACAATTTTTTGACAAAAAAGGGATTTTCTAAATGAGGTGTTTCACCATCAAGTCATTTTCTGAAGGGTACTTTGGATCACTACGAATATCAGCAGTATCATTAAGACTTATGTAAATAAAACTAAGTTTTGTGGAGTTTTTAGAAGAACATTTAACATATTTATGAGCTCAAAAGCCCTATTCTGGGGTTATGGTTGTATGGGTTCTATATATGGACCGATTTTAACTAATTTCAATTGGCTTCGTACTTGTGCCAAATTTCATCAAATTATCTTGAAAATTGCGACAGGCAGACAGACGGACATAGCCAAATCGACTCAGATTCTGAACCGGTTGGTATAATTTAAGGTGTATGTAGGACCAATATTTTTGGGTGTTACAAACATCAGCACAAACATACTTATACCCTCCCCACTATGGTGGTGTAGGGTATAAGTATGTTTTTATGTAGATATGATTATACCCTACACTATAGTGGGAAGTTTATAACGGGTTTGTGCTGATGTTTGACCAAAAATGTTGGTTCTACAGTATACCAATCGGCTTAGAATCA